AGTTATTCTGGTTAAGGCAGCAATGAGAAACCAAACCAACGAACATCAGAAGCAGGAGGTATGTAAGGAAAGCCTGAAGTGCTGACACAAAACCAGAGGCCGAAGCTTTCTGACCATATTGTCAAGGAGTTAGGTCTATAAGAAGAGGAATAAGCCAAAGAGAAATTGGGGATGAGGAAAACAAATAGGGAGAAGAAGCAGGAGAACATGACATGGCAAACAGCGAGACTTCCCAGCAGGGTTTAATTGCTAGTATCAGTGGTGACCAAGAAATGAAGGGGAAGAGCTACAGTGCAATAGCCTTGAGTTTGGTCACCTAGAATGAGTGTCATCAGCAGCGTCTGAAGTCGAGAAGAGATGGGAAATGGGGCGGTAGCTGGAAAGGAAGGTGTGGATGTACCTGTGCCTTTGAGCTGTGGATCTCCGTAAGGATACCGGGGAAAGGATGTGTCTGTATTGTGAAGGGAAAATACAAACAGCCTGGTTCCAGCCTTGTAATCCACTATAATTCTTCCCCAGCTCTTTTCCAAGATGCCACCCAGTCTTCCCAAAATTGTACACTGCCTCAGCAAACTGCGGTGACTGAAATTTCCTCTAAGACATTTACTTCCAGAAACAGAGTGCAGGAAGACTTTTGTCCTTTAAATAAATCCCAGTCTTTAAAAAAAAATCCTGCAAGAATTGAAGTTATATTTGATAGTTACCCAATTCATGAGTAAATTTTTTTAAACAATCCAGGCCCTTCCCCATTTCTCCTCTCCCTTCCCCAATAGACGTGTTCAGGGACCCTCAGCCTGAGGGATAGAAATGTAGCTGAGGGAAGGAATTGCTTTATTCTCCAGGCCCATTTCTTCTGATCAAGCTGTTACCTTGTGCCCGTGAGCAACATCTCCTCCCGATATGAGTATGACTGCTTGTCGAGCTTGTTATGAGTCCCAGGGCTCGCACCCCTGCGGGGAAGGAAAATATTTTTCACTTTTGTTACGCTATTTGTTCAGGAGGCAGTGAAAAATCTTCCTTTATGTTGCAACTCAAGGATAGACATGCACCGAGTAGGATGGTTTCTGAGATGTAAATTTTTGCAAATGGGAGAAATGGTCAGTGTGCTGCACCGTGAATTAGAGAGGCCAGCTCTATAGTGTGATAAAAACACCACTGGAAAATAGATTTCCCAGCAGTCAGTTCAGCAAAAAGCCAATCCCTTTTTCAGTTATCCTTTCGGTGAGATAGCGGCAGAGGCTCAGAGCAGCCTACGGGAGCTGCGCTTCAGATTAAAATGGGTCGGTGTCAACTGAGGATCTTCTGCTGGAAAATGTTCCACCTGTGTTAAACTACCAAGGCTACAAGTTAAGTTAAAACATTTTCCTCCTTTCTTTCAGTAATATCTAGGAATGGCGTGATACGACAAGATATTTGATATTTTAATTTTGTTTTCAAAGTTCTGGTACTTGTGGCAATTTCAACAGTATGCACTAAGTAAACACGGGACGATCCCAAGTCAGGTCTTGTTCTCTTCCGTGCAAATGCCCAGTGCTTAACGCTCCCTACAAATTTGACCATGGTTTTGCGTAGTCGTTCAATGTGTTTGACTTTTTTCTTTACTACTTTTTTGACTGGGGATCTTTCTTCATCAGTTGCGGATCCAAAAGGCTTTGGGGTTTTTGTGGTATGCCTAAAAAAGAGCATGTGCAACTGTGCAAGAAAAGTAAACTTTTAGGATGTTTCTTCATGTCAGGGTAAAGCAGGTCAGGCAATATTGACTTATTAAATTACTCCAGAAAATATTAATCAACACTCTTTAATCAAAATCTGTATCAACGATCAACATTTTAGGCTTTCCTGTAATCACCTGCTCCAATTTCAGTAAAAGTTGAGTGAGAAAAGCAGTTTTGAGTTTCTTTTGATTATATTAAACTGGGAAAACATTTATTACTGAATGACTCATAACTAAGGGTTTCAGGCTTCTGTATTGTGCAGCCTGAGCCACAAAAGATTTTGACATTTATATTTCATTCAGTACTAAGGCTGATGAGGAGAAAAACATGATTATACTCTTTTTGGCCCCTTTGGTAAAAGAACTGTTTCACACTTCCAGAAATTTAAGCTGGACACTCAAGATTCATCGATGGGAAATTTTTCCAGTTTGAAGTATGGCTAAATCTGACTTTGTTTGAGCATTAAATTCGTACAGAGAAAAAAAGAAATTATCTGAAAGTACAATGGCCTGTGCAATGGATAGTTTAAGATTTAATTCATTTTTTTGCACAATGATAGCTTATGGATTTTTTTTTTTAAGATCTAAAATCCTTAGTTTATGAGAAACAACCCTTGATTGATTACTATGACATGAAAGAAGCAGAAAACGTCTAATACCTCTTGCAGCAAGAAGCATCTAACCTCCTGACCTGACCTACGCTTGGTCACATCTTCCATGGCTGGCAGCAGCTGTGCTATGTAACTTTTTTCCCTTTTCCTGCGACAGAGGCTGCTCTTAAGAGAAGTGGCGTAGTATTCACAACAAAGGCCAATCGAAGCAGCTCGCCATATTTGCGATGCGGAGGAATATGGAGAGCTAAAGGTGGTTTAGGACAGCTACACTAGTCTTCAGGTATGAAGGCTCTTTTCTTTCTCTACCAAGTGCAGAGGGAGAGCACGGCCTCGAGGTGAGCCCTTGTGAATGTCTCTTTCTGGGTCTAAATGCCGTTCTCCAGGATACTTCTCATCCTCATTCCTTCTGCTTCGCCCTTAACTGATTCACCAGTTGCATGACCCTTTCAACCAGTTGCCTTTCACCCAATTCTCTAAGTGAGAGAGAACAGTATGCTTTGTTAAAGCCTTCACATTTTTCAGAGTTGATGTCTAAAGTAAGTTTGCATTTTATCTGGGAATAGTTTAATTTCCCCTTTGAGCATCTGAAGCTACACTCCTTTTACGTTATACCTTAATTAGGCAGAAAGCAATGGAGATCCAGTGTTCCACACTGAAAATAGCTATAATTGCAACTGTGTCTGATGTAAAAATTCACTTTTGTAAGATTTCAGAAAAATTCTGGAGGAGGAGGTATTTATCGAAAATTTGCAATACCGGTTTTGGTGGGGCGGTGGGGAGATGAGCTGCCTTTAATAGAAGCAGCTGTACAGCAATCTGGAAATTAGCCCAGTTGGGAGGAAAAAGTTTGTCCTCAAAAGAGAAGGCGGCTCAGAAATGAAAAGAAGTTTGTGCCTGGCTGTCAGCAAGACTCCTGCAGCCGAGCAAAGACAGGAGGCACAGGTAGAAGCTGCCCTTCTCCCGTGAGGTAGGGATCCCTGGCTGGTGGGCAGAGAGCTGCAAAGGTTTTATTATGTTTCCTGTGGCAGGTATGTGATCTGGTGCTGATGAGAGAAGTAATTTTTCCTTCCTCTCCTTTGCTTTGTGCTCTTGGGCTATCCTAGAATGAAATACTTCAGCATCATGTAGTACATTTGCTGGCAGGTCCAGCAGCTCCTCCTCTTGTTGGTAGAGCCTATGCTCTTAGGGCACACATTAGCAGATACACTGTACGCAGCCTGTTTAATTACTTTCTCATTATTCCACTGTTGTTTTTATTGCAACAGAAAAAACTTGGGTTTTATTCCACTGGGATTTAAAATGCTAAGTTACAGTACAGTAGCTCTTCAAGTTAAAGCTCATTGCTATTATGAAAAGCACTGAGTTGTTCCGTATTACAAAGAGAAACAGCTGTAAAACTAGAGTAAGCAAGCTCTGTACTGTGAGTTATCAGCAGAAATGTAACTAGAACCTCTCAGACAATTAGCCTTGATGGATCCTCAGCACTTTGACACCTACGTTAAGTGTGGACCCCAATTAAGTTACTCATTTTCACTGGACCCAAATAAAGTTGTTTGTCAAATTTTATTTTCCAAGAGCAGGAAGATCATGATAATGACCATGAGATGAATTATTCTTTCATGATTTTTTATGAATGTACAAGTTGCTTGGGAATAAAACCTGGCAAATCTAAGAAGTTAGAAATTGACTTCAGAACCAATCTGGAAATGGAAGATATGTTGAAATATTTACAGCATAGGGCAGGACTGATTCTTTACAGAGGCCTCCCACACAAAGCAGAGTAAATGCTCTGGGTTCACTGACAAATTATTTTAAAATGTGATTTTAAAATGTCCCATTGAGGCAGAAGAATCATATTTAATTGACATGTATTCTTAGCCTTGCCTCTGTGCATTATATTTTCAGTGAGATGAATTTTGAGTGACTGAGACATTAAAAGTAGTTCATTATTTTTCATCAAACAGATGTTTTTCTCCCCCTGCCCCCTCCACCTGCATGTTTTGGGGCTTAAAATACTGAAATCCTGCACACAGAAATATGATGTTTTCATTCACTTGCCCTCCACACCACTCATGGGAAAACGATAGCATAGGACTTCAAAGAAAGAGGCTTCCTAATACCTAGTAGAGAGATGCTTAAAACTGTGTTTAATGCTGTAAATGTGTATAACTAACTAATTCAGACATTACCACCAAAGTAGACATTTGAAATTTGAGTACAGAAAAAAAACACAACAGGAAATCACACGCAGACTCATGGGCAACATTATGAAGGTACAAGGCTTGCAGTGTATCAAAGAACTCTGCAAAACTGACAACTGGCAACAAACATTCGCACACTGTCAAGTCAAAAGTTTGTTTTTTTTAAACAAAATAGGCTCATCCGTGATTCTGACTTCATCAATAGTATGTTGCTCTTCAGGCAGCATATAGGGAAAAGGTGGTTACACAGGCTTCGCAAATAAATTGTTTTAAAGTCATGATGTAACAAGAGCATATTTAGGTCCAAGACTTTCTGCAGAATGGTCATTCGATTGGCATTCTTTCAAACATACAGGCAGAAGGATTAAAATAACCATCACATCAGAAACCAGCTATCAACTTATCTGTAAAATAAACAAATCCAGGATGGTCTTTCATGAGCAATGCAGCTAACATATAATTCTTTAGACAAATATATATACATTTGCTTGCAAAGTATTTCTAAATAGTATTTTCAAAAAGTATTGTTAGAGTAGTGCAATATAACTTTATCAGCAGTTGCAACCAACGAGAGGTAACCCAGAGAGAACCGCAGGAACAGCTCCTCTCGAGGATGCAGTCCTGCCGTTCTCCCCTGGGCAAAAATCCCCTTTAACGTCACCGGGAGCTACGACTAAGAGCTGTGCACGGGTAGTCCCTTAGGAATGAAATCTCTGCTCACTACACGGGGAGCCGAGCGTGGAAGTCTACATGCAGCTATCAGAATATATCCCCAAGTACTCGTTATGCAGTGGCCACTAAGACATTTGAAATGTAAACGTTTCTCATCTATGTTCCATGTAATTTATAAAATAATGCAGTTTCCATGCAGTAGGGCACAATCGTATCAGAAGAACTGACTACATTGTTAGCTAAGGAAATAAAACCGGTATATCAGTTTTACCACAACTGCATTTTTTCCTCTACACTATATTTCACATTGGTAACAGGTAACGTGTTATATCATAAAGCGTATTAATATGATCTTGTGATTTGAAAGCAAAAACATTTTCTGCAAGATTTCCATATTAAAATAGTTATGTGCACAAAAGGTGTTCATAGCATGACACCCAAAGCAACATGGACTTAGTTTGATAGTATTTCCATTACAGCAGAACTATGAACTTCATTCACTGAACTATGTAGTACAAATGAAGATTACTGGGTACATATAGAAAAATCAGATAGGCAATCAGTTACAAACCTGGCAGTATTTTTGAGAGAGACAGAGATTTTTAGGTCTTATAATGGAATGATAAAAACGGCAGGAACTTCTTTTGGGAGCTCCAGGAAGAGATTTGCACTTGGTGTTTCTCATTGTCTTATAAGCAGCCCTACTGCACAGGAAAATGTTGCACCAGGAGTTAACATCAGGGTCTGGAGTTCAAAAAAATCTGCTAAAACTTAAGTGCAGTAGGCTCCACTACATTGTATTTCTCTTGAAATGTATAAAACATAGAAAATCGTAATGGTGACTTACTGGATAAAAATATTAATGCTCACAAATAAAATCTGACTGAATTTTTGAGTCAGATTTAAATTTACACCTTTTGTAGATTTAGTCGGCATGATTTGAGTATTTCAGGTATCTTTGACCATCAAGTAGCAGTGCATATTTACCATTTTAGATTGATTCCTTTAACGTGTTATGCTGTTTCTAACAAGGCTTTCAAACAGCAAAAACTCTACTTGAAACCTTCGTCAAATGTGTCTTTACAGTGCGAAATATATCTTCAATGAGAAATGCCTTTTTACAATATTTACAAAATCTCCCCATTAGATAAAAAGGCAAAATAAATAAAAAGCTTAGAGAAAGGAAATGCTGCTTAGGCTGTAGGCTTTTTCTTTTATCTTCCCCCAGCAGATGCTAGTCTCCTCAACACGTGAAGTTAGCTAGCCAGGATTGTTTTTCTTCCTCTTGCTCGGGCTGTGACTGGGATCTTGTTTCAGTTCATGGTATTGCACCTGTTTAAACACAACGTTCAGAAAGAAACCAGTCAGGTGGCGCTTGCTAGAAAAAGGAAGATTTCTATTTTTTTTCTAAGGCAAAAAAAAGAAAGAAAAAGAAAACTATCCCCCCTGCAAACTTCATGGCATCTGCACCTATGGTTCAACAACAACAGAAGGATAGGTCTAGAGTAAGAAATAAAAACAGCATTAGGAAAACCCTGCCGGGAAGTAACACTGTGTGCTGACGTAAACTTTAAGAAGGCTACTTTTTTGTTTTCTCCATGAGCTCTAACAGAGAATGAACAGTATCCTCTTTAATGAATTGGATGAATATTCTCTGCGATATTTAAAAACTTGCTTATTTTCAAAGGCCTACCACAGGGGTGATCAGATTCAGAGTGGGCACGTGCACCTGTATCTCCTATTTATACCAGCTCTGAACCGAAACCGTTACCTAGAAATATGAGAAGTATATAATCTTTGTGATACCGGAGGTGATTTATGTGCCTGACTTTATCTTAAAGCTTGCACCTTCTCAAGAGATTGTGTACCGCATTACAACAGCTTGTAATTCATAACCAGACTATTGTTATAGGAGTTTATGAGCACAGCTGAACTGTGGCCACAGCAAAAACTCTCACCCCAGGGAAGGAAAGGCTGAAGTGCTCTCAGAGTGCTGCCACGGCAGAGTGGTGGGCAAAGCCGCCCACCGCTGACTCCGCATCGGTGCAGCTCCGTTCACAATTCGACCCTCCCGTTCGCTCCCTCTCCGCATGTCCCCACAGCCTCACCTCCAGCCTTACCCCCATCAGTTTCACATGGTGCTTAATACCAACTCTAGCACCTGCTACCGCCTCCCAAATACTTGTCTTTTTACTGATTGCCCCTGCGGATCCTCCAAGGCACAGCCATGTAGTGGCTAATTCCTCACTGCAAACAGTCTAGCAGCCTCCTTAAGGTTCACGGACTATCCTCAGCTTGAGTTTGAAATTTCTGTGTGTCAAAGGATATAACGCTGAATCAAAATAATCGCTTTAAAATTTGTTTAAAAACCCCAGAAATTCCTTATGCTGCATATCAAATTAACTACCGTAAGGACACTTTAAAAAATATACACACCACTTGCACATCTGAAGGAACTCTGGACAGAAAGTCAAGTAGCTCATTGTTATCAATTGCGTACGGACTTCGAAGCTTCTTTGTAAATTTATTGATGCCTGCAAAGGTGAAAGTTCAAATGTTACTATCATAATTTTTTTATAAAGATACATCTTTGGCAAAGTTCTAAAAAAGATTTTAGGATCCATTTCAAAGTCTGACATTAGCACTGAATTAATGAACGGACGCACTGTAAACTCAGGCTATAAAAGTCAGAATCTGCTGCTGTGGTTCCCCCTGCTTCAAAATGCCAAAGTTGTAGGGACATTTTCAAATTCCTCCAATACTTTTTTTTGAAAGTAACAGAAACTGTGGTTATTATGTGGAGGTTGCAAAAAGGACAGGAATAAAGTGTACTCCATTTCTGTAGTGCAGAGGATGAGCAGTAATGGGCTTAACTGCATGACACAAGATTCAGGTTAGACACAAGGAAAATCTTCCAGAGGCTACAGATGGTGAAGCATGTAGGAAACACTGAAGTCTGCATCAGGTGAAGGCTTTAGGAGGAGTTTACACAAACCTCCGCCCTGGAATGACAGACACAGACAAGCTGATGGCAGTGCAGAGAACAGATGCGATGTCTCCCTTAGGCATCGTGGTCTTACCATGCCTATTGACAATTAGTGTTCAGAAGCACCAGGAAAATCCTCCCCAAACTACGCAGGAAGCAGGCTTTTAAATTAGACTCATTTTCTTATCATTACATACGGGGTCAGATTCACAGACTTTTCATGTGAGAACCTTGTTCACGGGCTTTGGGAACACACGTCTAAAACATGGGCAGGAACGGTACAAACTGCACTGACTCTCATGTGAGTGGGGGAAAGGCTGGACAGCATTAAAAATGTGCTGTTCTGTGTAATTTATCCAGGCTGTATCAGAGATAAGATAACACAGTTCATCCTCCACGAAGCCTTTGGTGGCCAGGCCTTTCAGAAAGCTTTAGCAAGGACATAAAGCTTCGGGACGGAGTACGCAAGCTGAAGTCTCGATAACACCCACGGCCTCTCACTGCATGAACGCTCAGTTCTGTGCTGTAGATAGGAGATGCTGCCATCCCTTTATCTGGTTATTGAACAGTGAGCGTTGAGAAAGAATATCTGAGATTCAAACACCTTTGTTTAAGAAGATCCTTTGCATCAGCAAGTGACTGAGAAATTCAAGGTCTACCCCACCATTTGCTGCATGTGGCCATTGGATCACCCACGGGTGAATTCAGGAGTCAATATGGCCTCACCTTGTCACATCTAATAAAGAAAATTATCAGTCACCCCATGAAAGTGAATGCATAGATAAATCATGGTCAAGGTTCAAGAAAAGAAAAGCGCTGAACAGATGAGATGGGACACTGCAGAGGAAGTAAAAGACAACAAGGGGATCAGGTCTTTTGCAAAAGCTTGAAAAATTTTTAATTAAAATAATTTTCTTTATACTCTTTTCCACCTAAAGAGCTGCAGCAGCTACCCGGACTCTGCACTCTTGAGAATGGAATTAGAGCGCAGAGGCTAACACACCATGTGTTTCAAGCACCAGTAGTCTCCATGAGGAGAATCATGGCCAGGCGGGAAAGAACTCAGAATTTCTTGCCAGGGCAGGCTAAAAGAGGCAGTCCCTATGGAGGCACAGAAGAAAGACAGCTATGCAGAAGACCAGCCATAATATGGAGGAATTTTCATATAAAAAGCCCTGCCTTTCCAAAGAACGAAATGGACAGATGCTGCTACAGACCAGCTCAAACTTTCCTATGGACAAAAGTCAGACAACAGAGGTCATTCGCTCCAAGTGCAGGATGGACGAATGGGTTGAAGGAATGTATATACATGGGGGAGGCTAGAGACACACAACAGCGGAGAAAAGAGGCATGTGTTTGGAATACTGTGTTTTTTGAAGGGACAGCTGCTCGAAGCTACACGCAGTGCATCGTGGCTTTGTGCAAATGCATTTCACAGCGAGGAGGTCTGGACTGCTGGAGCTGCAGCTATGCAGTACCTGGCTGGTGTCCTGGCACGATGCAAGACAAATAGGTCCCTCAAGAAGGGATCCCCAGACACCTGCTGAACAAGAAGCCACCTGCACTGAAATGCAGGAGAAAAACATGGACCTGAAACCTCCAGTGAACAAAAGTTCTTGAAGATGTATCTAGATAGGCTAGAGGACCTGGGGGCAGGGAGGGGAGAGATGGAGGAAAAGAGAGCAACGTGCATTTACACGAATTTGTGCTTATGTTATCCATCTGTGGTTTGGGAGCCATGGACTCTGGTTTGGGAGCCATGGTGTCCAGTTTGGGAGTCGAGGCTCTGGCATCCCTGAAACAGAGACATTTCTGGGAGAGTGTGACCCCTCACAGTGTTTTCAAACAACAGTGCTGACTGCATAGTTTTGTGGGTCTCGGAGGGATATTAGAATCTCAGGTTCTTGCAGGAAAACAAGGAGATGTTATGAAAGCAAGCGTACAAGATGCCAGCTCTGTCCGAAAAACAACAGAAAAAGGACATAGAGCAAGTACTTCAAACTTCAGTAACAGGAGGCCTACCATCTTGTGTACACTGGGAAGAAGGAAATTTTAGGAACAAACTATGAGTTTGAGTGCACCCAAGTGACATAGGGTATGTGGGGAATAAGTGAAATTCCTAGACAGGAAAAGACACTTGCTTCTTTTAGTTCCATCAGAAAATTTTTTGCTCAAATCCTCCATACTGCTTTTCCTCCATTTTGTATATTCTGCTACATTTATTTGTGAAGACTCTGTAAGAATATTGCTAATGCTGACTGATATATAACAAATACATTCTTTGGAGTCAGTTCAATGATTTTATGTTGTCTCTTGAGTTCAGAAGTTTTTACAAAGTCAAGATTGTTATTCTTTTCCTCAGAAAGAAAATCTAGCCACAGATTTAATTGAGACAGTGCTCTTCACAAGTCTGCACTACTGAATAAGAGTACAGCTGCTGGTGGTGCGAGATGTATAAAAAATGTACAAATGAAAACTTGAAGCATTATTTACAACAGATGTGGTAACGGTAGCTGTTTAAAATCAGTATAAAGAATAAATATAAGGACAAGCAGTGAGAGCTTGGATCAATCACAATCCCACCCCCCTGCCCCCCCCCAGTTTCTGTTCATTATCAACCAGCCAAATACCACATATACCTTTCTGTCCAACTAAAGGTGACCCTTTAAACAGGTTTCTTGTTGCTATGTTTACATACGCTTTCACAAGATAAAGTACTGCAGTAAAAAAGGCATATTGTCCTAAATGCACTATATAGATTGAAATGCCTCTGTTTGTGTATAAGTGGTGAAAATAAATCAGAGTAATATCTAGACAAAGCTACACTTTGATATATGAAGAATCCTCATGGCTACATGTTTATAGTATGATGAAGTCTAGAATGCCAGCCAAGAAAAATGCATTTTGCAGGTGGGCCTAAATCTTTACGCAGTTGTGATTTTTAACTAACCTGTCTGTTTCCATCATGGGGCAGCTTCATGACCATAAATACAGAAAAGTACTGACAATGTAAGTCATCCCTTAAAAACCAGTTTTTTCTAAATGGCACAGACAGTTAAAAAAGGCTTTACTTACCCCAGACAAGGACAATGTATCTCAGCGGAATGAAATACAGGATGATGGTGAACACGGAGAGGGCAACAATTGCCAGCCAGCTCAGGAATGGGACAGTCCAGTTGAATGTACTAAAAGAAAAATTAACAAAAGCCAGAACTGTGGTCACCCGACAAAGCCAATGAAAGAACAAATAACAGGCAGGACAGGGGAAAAAGTGCCAGTTTCCACCAGTGAGAAAAAATCGAGACTACAAATGAATGCGTGGATGCTGGACGTCAGGGTGAGCTTGGGCTTGGACCCACTCCCAGTGGAAGTGACAGGAGGTCCTGCCTGCTGAGTGGCACCTCTCCTGGCCCAGCTGTGCACATCTGTCAGAGGAAGCACTGCCTTGCTTTTTGGAAATGTCAGTGCCCACTCCCAATTTCAGCATCAGGCAAAACACACTCAGTTCCTTACTCCCCACACGCACTCGCACAGGCAGCCCAGATTCCCTTCTTCAATTCCAGTGCAGAGGTAGGATATAATAGTTAGAGGAGTACTGCTAAGGCTTTCTGTTTTATCTCTTCCCTACTCTACCGTAAGGACAGCACAAGCAGTTGAAGGCTGAGCGGGGACCTTCCCCTCCACCCGATGTATACGTGCACTCCCTGGGCAGGCACCCTTCTGTCTTGGGGGGCACATCAGGAAAAGGCAACTGTGTGGGTATGCAAAGCTGGACACTCATCCATGCACCTGAGAAGGAGAGGGTTAGGGAAAAGGAGGGGGCAGAGCAGTCGGTCCTGAAGATAGGGATAATGCAACAGCACTCGATTAAGGAAGGAAATAAAAAAAAAAGGGGGGGGGGGGGGAGAAAAAGAGGGGAGGGGAAAAAAAGGAGGGAGTGGCATAAGATAAAGTACATTGCAGGAAAAGCAAAGAAAAACTTTATCTTCCAGATACAATATAATAAAGATTATTTCTTAATGGATAAAGGAAGAGAACTTCTGGGATCCCACCAGAGTTTCAGGACATTGCCTGTCCAAAAAAGCCCCAGATTAAAACGTCGTCATTAAGGGTCCCAAACTCTACATTGTGATAAAAAACTGCTGGTCACCTCATTTTGCAGAGGTCGAGATGTGGGCGGAGAGGAAGTGAAAGCTAACGAGTCTTGAAACAGCTGTGCTGTGGCTCTCCAACCTCTGTGTGCAGGGAAGAGAGAAAGACCAGATGGCCAATATGTATGTACACACACACACACACACACACACACACATATATGTATGTCCCACAGGAATGCTGGTTAAAGGGAGCTTGGCTCAATGGGTTTGTTCCATGAAGGCACCACCATGTCAAAAGTGTTGCATGACATTTATCCAGAAGGAAAATGTGGCTTTGGCTCTAAATAGCCTGATGATACTCTTTAAAGTATTACCACTAGCTACATCCCCAATCAGTGTGATTACATTATTTTGGCTTCTCTGGCTGAATAATTGCAATTATCTGAATTGCTAGCCATATTTTTCATAATGAGCTCTGGCTTCCTGTGTTTATTTGTCTTCTTTTCTCCCTGGCAATTTTGACATGTCTCCAGAGTGAACATTATGTTAGTGTCACTTGGTGTAGGATCACTCCCTTTCTCCTCAGGGGACACCTGCTCTTTTCCCCTCTTCTGCATGCATTTGGGATGAACAGAAGGTTGAGGGTCTGCTCATGTTCCTGTGACTCGGCTTTGTGCAATGGATCACAGACACACCATGTGTGGGAACACTGGCTCCTCACTTAGCAAACCTCCTTATGTGCTGTGTTAGCACAGCATTCAGTACAGGTTTCCCATTATAGTTTTAGGAACAAATTACAAAGATTTATAGGAAGATTTGGTCTCACTCAGTTTAGAAAATTCTGTTGCTCTCATCTGGTATATAATAGAACAAACACTACTTCCAAAATGCACAATTAGAAAAACTTAATCATCAAGACAACTTCCACGAACAGCCTTTTGATAAAAGACTTCTTTCAGAGACCGGCTCATTTTGCTTGTCTGGAAAACTCGTGCAATATAACGTGCTTGCACCTGCCTCTGCTGCTGTGAACACGGTCTGCCTGGAAGTGTCCCCACAGGAATGTTTCCCAGCCTTTTCTATTAGGGGCTTTGCTCTCAAACACATAAACAGCAACCTCTTCTTCATCCTGATGCTGATAGGTTTGCCATTGCTGATAGATTTTGGGGGAAAAAAAAAAAAAAAAGCAGAACAGCATGAGAGACAATCCTCATGTTTCCTGCGGGCTGACCTCCACCCAATGCATCAGCTTTCTAAAATTCACTTCCAGAAGCCAGTATTTAATTTTGGGGCCGTACCCGTTGCACAGGCTACGGTCTCGTAGGTGTGGAACACCAACGCACCGCGGACGGCACCGGCGGTGGACGAGACCGGTGCCTGGTGCTCCCGGATTGCACCCAGAAGAAGGGAACACGCGGCTTTAACTCTCCTGCGCGTCTCAATGGAAATTTTGCAGCAAAACTTCTTGCGAAGGTTTTCTGGCTCGGCGTGGCTCCCGGGTCGTCTCTCTGCCTTTCCCCTCTGCCCGCGGTGGAGAGGCAGTTGCAAAGGCACTGGTCCCAGCTTCTCCTCCGGCGAGGATGAGATGCTTTCAGCTTTCGAGGGGCAGAAAGCCAAATTAATCCTGTCCCGGCGTCGCAGCTGACGGCTGGAAGATGTCTTTCTGGAGCTCATTCGATCGCAAATAATAAACCTTACGCTGCTGTTCACTGACCACGCCAAAAATGCACAAAACTTCCTGCAGTACATCTCAGAAACTCTCTTGCTTAAGGCCTACGTTTGTTGGCAATTCTTATATATTGTGTATTAGGTGTTAAAAATTACAAATACTCTAGAAGGAAAGGTTTTTCTAACTCATGTAAATACAACACATCCAGCAACTGAACATATGCACATCTTTAAAACCTGAAACCCCTGTTCAGCTCTGCTTATTTCCTTTATCAAAGCTTTATTTTTCATTATGACTTTTAACTACTGTTAGGCCTTGCAACAAGATTCTCTTTCTTCAAAGCCTTAGTTCTGAGTTTTCTCCCAAACTAATATATTTCTAAATTCCAAAATTATTATGACAGGATTTTCATTAACTGAGGCCCCCCACAAAGCAAATATAGGTAAGTTTCAACAACAGACCATCCAAAACTGGAGGTGTTCCCCCCCCCCCCAAAAAAAAAAAAAAAAAAAAGGGCAAAACCTTTGGTACCACACTTGGAAAAAATATGAACACTATTGGAGAGCAATCCAGCACCTGTGTCAGCACTTACTTCTTGATCCTTTCTCCGAAGGAAGCCACTTCATCAAGGATATTCTGGACACTGACACACACCTCCTGGATGGCATAAAGTCTGTTCATAAATCCTTTTTTTTCACTGTCCTAAAGAAAAGAATAGGAGTGGTTGAATAAAAGAATTTCTGACTGTAGGAAAAGGACTATGTATCCATCAGTTAAGTTTCAAAAGTACACGTTAGAGAAACACCTAAAAGTAATTGGTAAAACCTGGCAATCTGAATTGTTTTCTTGTCCTTTAAGCAGTGCATATTGATAATAAGTATATTTTAGTATATATGCTGATCACCACACAATTTTGTTTGTCATTGCACTAGTTTCTAAATACATATTTCAGTAAGTCAGGTCTCTGGTTTATAAACGTGTTGCAGGTGCCAACCTCATATGTTGTGCGCTCTTTCAAGTGATAAGAGTCAAAAGGTGGAATACGGGCAGTTTGTTGAATTGTTGGTTCTTGCACTGTTGTAGGCACCAGGAAGATAAACATTCCTTGTAGAAGGCACTGAGCAAGGAACCAGAAACACCTCAGCTCCTACAGGGACAATCCCTCTGGCTCCAATATGTGTTTAAGTTGTCAGACGTACCCGTGCCCCCGCATCATCACCTATTCTACCTTCCTGCTTGGCCAGTGACCACACGCTCTCCCTCTCTCTCCTTACTAATATTTTAATTTTACTAAATTTTCCTTACTAATATTCAAGTGTTGCTATGCATGAAATATGTGGGAGATGTAACTGACTGCCTTTACAATACGATTAGTGCAGCCTATGGCTCCAAAAGCATACAAAGTGCCAGCCATGGACAAAATGAAAGATGCAGGGGAGGTGTCATTGTGAGAAGTAATTTAATTACCTCCTTACTTTCTCAGGTTTCTATACACTATTGGGCTTTTATTCACAAAGCCATCGATTTATAGTGATGCAAAAGTCTAACCATAATTTCACTTTTGTTAAGTTTGTCAAGATTCTTTGTGCCCCTAAAAATGTGGGGTTTATTTCAAAAAAAAGAGTGACCATTTGTCCCTCAAAAGCAGGAACGACCCTCACTACGTTTTCTGGGGTCTTTGATAGACTTGCCATCAGTGAATGCTGTCCTTCTTTCTGCCAACTCAAGGAGACTTTGCCTCCTAGAAAAACCCAACAAGGTGTTGCTCGGGTACATCAACACGCTCCATGGACCATTCCTCAACTGGGCCTCCTCCCACTCTGACGACCTGTTCTTTTTTCCCCCAAAAGCTCTCTATCTCTAAACCCAGATAGACTGCAGCATCAAATCCATGCAGAGCCAACAGCACTCTCAAAACAATGCTGTGTTAGGTGGGACTAAAATGAAGCATCACCATGGGAAAAAAAAAAGACAATTTCACTTCATTTTTTCCCAGACTACACAAGTCAAAAGTTTATGTTCAACATTTCCAATGGATTGATGACATATTACCCTATTTAGCTAGAATGTGATTAGTGTTTTGTCAAAATAAGAAATGGAAAGAAAAATATTCCAGATCAGCAAAATATTTGATAAAAAAAGTTGTTCAACATTTTGCCATCACAAACCATACAATATAACAGTCTCTGTAATTGACTCCAAAGTCCAGCACCTAAGAAATTAGCATATGTTGCATTTAATTTTTCTTTTCTTCTCCTGATGCTTAATTAGCAGACAGTATATGGATTCACTCATTTTGTCTTAATAAACTAGACTGGATGAGGAAAACATCAATTTAACATTTAATCACCTGAAGTTACTTCAGCGACACTGGTTCTGCAACTATGTTGTCAAGATTTCTTGTGAAGACCTTGAAAGTATTTAGCTACAGAACACAGACTGTCTAAAAATAAACAAACATCAGACAGACAGACAGACAGACAGACACAGACGGCAAAACTACTTCCAGTGACTGAGTGTAATTTAGAAAACCAAACACTTCAGAGACAGCAAAACCACCAGTTTCTCAGCAACGTGAAAGAGCTTATGTTCTCAGTTAAGATTAATAATTATTCATATCATGAAGAAATCTTTTTTTTTTGAGGATGACCATAACTGCAACCACTGCTGTCAACCACATCCAGTGCTGCACAGCAACACTGAGTCATTTGTGAAGTTATTTCCTTAATATTTATTACATTCTTGAAGCCTTGGCAATGACAACATTATTGTCCTCGGCTACACAGCTTCTGAGGAGGTGCAGCATATATCCAGTGTGTTTCATTTGTCATCAGGAAAGAGATACCTGCTCTATTCCTTCATGTAAAACACATACTTCTAGTACAGGAGAAATATGAAAATAATCTGTTTTCTCGTATAGTAGAAGTGAACAATAAGCCATACAGAAATCACAGGTATTTTTCTGCTTTTCAAAAATCTATACACTTTGCTTCTTCAGTTTCATTTAACAGATTCTGCCCTCTCTGTAAAGTTATCTTGATTTATAATTAACTTGTGCGAGAAAAGAATTATGTCACTGTAACAAAACCAGTACCCTTTGTGACATCTCCAGAACTCAACTAGAATTACATTCAGAGGTCCTGAGGCTGTTTTTCTTTACAAACATTTTACAAGACAAACTTGTACCTTTTTTTGAAAATACATCTGTTTTAAATCTTTCCCCTAAAAAAACCCCACAAAAAAGCCAAAGACAGAAAGAGACAGAGAAAGAATCACTATTCCCACCCCCCCTGCACTTTCTGAGCTTAAAGAAAATTTGTTGACATACTCTCAGGCAGGAATAGACAAAACAGCACAGGAAAGAGGAGGCGGTCAGAAGGATCAGGGTTCGGCTTTGCTTAAACTAATTCCACATGCCCCACAACTATTAGCTGTTTTTTATTTCCTGCTCCAAAGATTTGTGGAGAAAATAATCTGAGCTAGGGAAAAGCTGCACTTAACTTTCTTCCAGCAAGATGCTGTGTTAGCAAATACAACATATGAGCCACCTTGAGCAAACCAAGGTTCTTAATAATCCATTTTTTAAACACTACTGGTATTTCCTTTCCAAAGAAAGATGAGCTGTGACTGGAATCAATTTCATCATTTGTATGGCTACAGTTGCCAAGTTTCTGGAAATAATTGCCATTTAAATAGTAGATAAAATTTATTATACAAAGCTAACAACAGCTTTATTACTATTTAATTTTCATTATTTGTTTGTTTGCAGTAGGCTTAAGGTATCTGAAAAGCAAGATGTTTGATAGGGGATGGCTTTAAACATAAACTGTGAAAGCAAAGTCAAATTGATGTTGATAGTCTGACTTGAATTTTCAAAAGGGAATGAACCCAAAGTAAAGACTGAGACCACGTCCTCCTCCTCCTCCTTGATAGGAAATTGTAGATTACAGATTGATATACTGCTTGGCCAATAATAATACTAACTCTTGTATACTGACTTTTAGCCATAACCATACTTTACGTTTGGTAAAACCAAAGCAAAACAAACTAAATGACTGGCTCTAGACTGTGTGGAACTAATTCACATGAAACCTTGAATACAACCCATGTTGTCTGAATCTCTTTATTCAGCGGACTATGCTTCCAATCCCATGATAAGATAGGGTTATTTAGGAAAGGATTATATCTTTAGCCCCCAAACTCTCTCTTCTCTAGGTTAAAGTGCCTTTAAAAACCAAACATTGCAGAAGACAGGAAAAGCTGGAGAAATAAATAAGCCAGACTCAAAATTAAACTTTGTTAAAGTTAATGGAGTGAAGCCAGGAAAAAAAAAGAGCTTTAAGTGAAAGGAGACGTTTTTAGTACAGAGAATAAAGCTCTGAATATTTTATGGTGGATAACTGTCTTATTAATAACTGCTAAGTTGCAGAAAAAGGCACAGATCATAAAACAAAAAATCATAGGATAGTTTCAAGAATAGAAGTAAATTTTGAAATTTTTAGGAGATGCTGTCTGGGAAAGACAGAGGCTCCAGATGGATCTTCCAAAAACACCCCTTGTTGCCCAAGCTGGTATGATAGAGCACCTCTGTACAAACCAAAGCGACTGAGACAAAGCCAGACTAACTTGTGGTAGGTACAGAGAGAGGATGTGAAGCCACCACTGAGAGCAGGAGCATTTGCCTGGTGTGCTGTAAGTGCTACAGTCCTGTCGCTTGGCCACCAGAAGACACATGCGCTCTTCTTTGCTTGTGTCACGCTGGACTACCTGTGGCCACAAAAGCATCACCCTGCAGCTATCGGTGAGGAACCCCTCTAATCACTCCTTCACCTTTAGTAACAGACCTGTAAATCTCTATTACTTGAATAGAAAAATACTACTTCTATGAGGAAACACTGTAGATTAGATTATTTCAACTAATAATTGGTCTCCAAAGCAGAGTCCATCCATTGGCCCCATGTTGTCTCCTGGCACGAGTCTCAGCCATGCGCAGGGCTGCAACACCCTGGTAGACCTCCCTTTGGAGACTAACGAAGTAGACCCAGAAGCGTCAGTAGGAAATGCATTAGCCCTTTACCGGCAGGATTCATTAGTAACTCCCAGCGAGGGCATACAGACACCGACTGTTGAACACTGTCCTATGGTCTGGCCGCTGCTCAAAAACCTGTCACTGGGGATTAATGGCCTCAGCAATTACCTCCCAGACTCTAACCTCTGCTTTCTGGGAAGGTCACTAAGAAGATAGTAAGCCAACACTATTCCAGCTCTGGAGGCGTTTGATCTCCTCCAGGTCTTCTGCACCCCTATCAAAAGGCTTCAGATCTGGTGATAGATACACGGGTGAGTTATTATTTTATTATCCTCTCAGAGAAATGGAAAGAGGTCAGACAACCATGATGCTACTGTTATCTTAAAGCTGACTGTGGAAGTGCGATCATGAGGTAAAGCTGAATGGTCTACAGGACCTGGAAATGTGCGTGGAGTGACCTGAAACTGGCCTCCTCCATTAAGTCAATAATTAACTGGGAAGGCCAGGTTGTTTTAACCACTCTTCCCTTGTGAAGGCTGCCACTTGTGGAGTACCACAACCATCTGGTCTTGCCACTTCTTAAGGTGAAAAAGTATGGGAAGACTCTTGGAGACATTAAAACCTTTCAGAAGGACCTGTGCTGGTTTTGGCTGGGGTAGAGTTAATTTTGTTC